AAGATTGGAGTAGTTTTAACAAGGATTGTGTGACTCCCAAAGCCAAAAATAATTACTATTTGGTATTTTTCAGGAGAAAAAAATTCTGACCCCAGGCCTAGAACAATACCTTTCCTTAACTTCTTTTAAAGTCAGACACATTAATATTTAACCCTCACAAGTTTCATTCCAAAAGGAAAGTCTTAAGTCTATATATAACTCTAAGGACGATCACTAGATCATATCCTAGCATGAAGAGGCTCATAGCAAGAAGCGGAACACTGTGGGTGAGAACACAGACTCCAGAGCCACACTTTCCCCAGCTTAGACTTTGGTTCCACCACTTAGCAGCTGTGCAACCATGGACAACATGCTTAACTTCTCTGTGTACCAGTTTTTCCATCTATTGAATGAGGCTAATGCTGGTACTCATCCCTTAGGGCTGTTTTGAGCATTAAATAAGTTAATGTTTGTAAAATGCTTAGAAGATCCTCTGGTATAAAGTAGCTGTTGTAGGGCGCCTGGGTGGCTCAGTCGTTAAGCGTCTGCCTTCGGCTCAGGTCATGATCCCAGGGTCCTGGGATCGCGTCCCACATCGGGTTCCCTCCTCGGCGGGAGGCCTGCTCTCCCTCTCCCGCTCCCGCTGCTTGTGTTCCTGCTCTCGCTATCTCTGTCTCTGTCAGGTAAATAAATAAAATCTTCAAAAAAAAAAAAAAAAAGTAGCTGTTGTAAATAAAGTGATAAATTTTTTACTGCGTTTTTAAGTTAAGAAAATAGAGATACTTGGAAATTGGCTAAGGTAATGAGTGAACCTCAACATGTTCATAAATATGGAAAAAATACAAGATATGAATTAAAATTTGAACATGTCCACTTTTGTCAGTAAATCCTCTAAGCCAATACAACACATTAATATCTACTCTAATTGCCTTTTGATTGTAGGATATAACTATTTGGCTCCCATACCTGTGATATAATTTTGTAATCAATGGTCCTGTTTCACATAATAAACAAATTGTATTCTGAATGGTTGGGTAACTTCTGATACAAAAATCTAACTACCTAACAACTTCTAATCTGAGGCTATCAAATTGATATAAAGGGAAGTAACAACTTAGAGAATACATGGATACAAGATTAGTTTGCTTTGCTAAGGTTGTTACTCAGGCCTTAGGAAGAGAACCAATAGAAAATATAGTCCTACATTTAAAGAAACACTTTCTAAGCAGCAAAGGCAGGAATCAAAGCTGCGTATTAGGAAATCTAATGGCTTTTTAATCATTACAAACCATTTTAGCCAATAGATAATTGTGCTCCTGATATTTAAGTAGATTTTTAAATTAATTTATATGAAATCTTTAAATAAACTTTTTTAGAGAGTGAAATCTTTATAAGGTAGCCTTCTGTCTTCTATAAAATATAATCTCTGGAAAACTACACTTCAGTATAGGGCTGTAAATGGGACTGTAATAGCTGGTGGTTAAATGTTTTAAAAAATATGATTATTTTCAACAATGCTTTTCTATTACAGGTGTTTTCCTGTAGAAGGTTCAATGGCTTTTGTTATGTGTAATAGTAATGTAGATTGAGGAACATATTGGTGAAGTCAACACTGAGCTTTCTTATTTTATAATCTTAATTCTTTCAACTTTCAGTAAGCATTTATTTAACTGCTACATTGTGTGAGATGCAATGAAAATGTAAAAAAGAAGTTAATGAATCCAGTCCAAATTGACTTATTTGAATAACTACTAAATTATGCACTAAAATTTTAAAAATACAAATAAAAAAGAAACTTTTGGGATTGCTTAAACTACACTTGGACTGTATGTCTTCTGATATTTACTTATTAATGTACTAAACACTGCATGTTATGTCACTAATTAAATTAAATTTTCATGCTTTAGAAGTCTTTAAAAATGACATCTCCAGAAACTTTTTCAAGAACTTATTTCTTAAGTTTTATATTTCTTGCAATAAAACCAAAAGAAAACAAGAAGTAAGATTTCAAATGTCTTAATTTTTGTCTCCTGAAGTCCTTTCCTCTTAAATTAGTTATGCATATGTTTGAATATAAGATAATAAGTCTTTTATTTTTAATTTATTATTCTTATGCTTAATTTGCTAAAATAAAACATGAATCTGAGCATAATGGCATACTCAGAAAGACTAAAGCAACTAGAGCAAAAATTAAATATTAATTTGGGTATTTATAAAGTCTTCAGGCTTGGATTGCTTTATTTTTCTAGATGTAATAAAAATTCAAAATTACTTAATAATCTTTAAAAATATTTAAAATACTGTTATTACATTAATAGCCCTACTTTCAATAGATAACATGTATTCTTAAAAAAATAAATTCTTTTTGAAGTGATTCTATTTCCTTATATTTTGTACTTTTTCCAACAGATTAGTCAATTTTAATTTTTCAACTCCTTGCCTAAATTTGAGGAATTCTTTCATGTTTAGACTTTAAAAACTATAGGTGGATAAAAAGTAATATATACAACGCACTTCCATTCAATTGTCTTCAATAAAAGTGATGTATTTGCAGAAGCAATTGTTTAGCATATTTATCCTTCTGTTAAACTCCATGTAAGTCTGAGAGAACATTTTTATATTCTGCTGATGCTATAATAAGTGGGCCAATATAATACTATTGGTTACAACTTACAGCATTTTTGTCTACATTAAAGTTAAGATCTTGATGGTTAGTCGTTCATTCTTTCTGCAAATTAAAATTGGAATAATGTAATTAGTCCCCCCAAATTAAAATGCTACAGTTATCCACAATGGAACAAAATCTAAATTATATTCTTTTGAGATCAACAACAGGTTCACATGAACTGTTTTCTTCTCTGTATCTTTCGCTTTTAAAGAAAAACACAGTTTTCTTCCTACCGCAGAAGTATCAGATTCTTGCAGCATCCATGACACTTGTAAGCACTTAGTGGTCAGACACCACTACACGTCCTTCAGATGATATGGCCCAGTGAAGCTGGACGGTGTCGTCACGGAGCCGGGCAGCCTGGTATCTCAGCCATCCACCAGGACAGAACCAGCAGGCCCCAGCTGGTATGCTGAATCCAGACGAGGGTAGAAAATGCATTTTGCATTTTGAAAGTCAACTGTTCTAACACTGAGCCCTAGAACATACTTATCAGGTAAAAGTGCATGGAGGGCTTTGGAAATTCTTTGAAAGATCAAATTTGTAATGCTCATATCCCAAAGTCACTCTTAAAACAAGTTAAGCCTTAATCTTATTATCCCTCTGGATTTCTGAGTTTGTACTAGATTTTACATGTTTTTAAAAATACGAATAAATCTATGTTCAGGACTATGACTGTGTTGTCTGAATTCCTGAATATGTATAATATATGCTAAATTAAGTATACCTGTAGGTCATTTAAAAGTGATAAAAGTTAAGATAACGGTGTGGTGTGGTGTGGTGACATGTGCCCATCGCACTAAGTTTTGATCTTTAGACAAATGAAAAACTCTTACAAAAATAAAAGTACATTCCATGTTCTTATTCACACTTGGACTCCTGTGCTCACTATTCAAGCACACAAGGATTTGAATTCTTGCTTGTGCTATTGTCTTACTGTCATTTATTGACACGATTCATTAACTCATCCCTCACAAATAGTAGAAAATCAACTTAGAAGGTTTCTAAGTCCAAGATTTCCCATACCCCTGTGGGCCTCCCCTGAACACCAGTGCTGTAGAGAATATCTTCCTTTTCTTAAAACATTTCTACCTGCGTCTAGTAGAAGCATCATGACTAAAAAATAAATGTTTAATTCCAGAAAGCTGCACAAAATGGACCCCCCTCCCCCCACGTTAGACATCCTTCTGAATGGGAAAATGGCATGATGGATTTTTAAACCATGTTAACACTCTGGTGGATTAGGCTGGGATAGCCTGGCATCTGAAATCATGATGTTTTATCATGAGAAACTGAGAAGATACTGTTTCTCTTTTTTAAAAAGAGAAAGAAATGCTCTGCTAGGGCTCATTAAAAGGGGTTTTAAGATTGGAGCCAATAAAATATGACTGTCAATTCCTACAGTTAAAACTCAGCAACATTTTAAAAAGGCATCATTTCTCTCTCCCCTTTGACATTAAAACCTATTTGCAGCACACACAGACATATTCCAAAGAGCAACAACAAGTCCCCAACTTCTTTGTGACTTTAGAACAAGCACAAGGACCTAACTGGAGCCAGATGACTCGCCTCCTCCCAGTTTTCAGCTGTGCTCCCCTTAGAGATGGGAGCTGCTAGGCATGATTCACTCTGACATCCTGAAACCTCTGGCTCTGCTCTCCTTTAAAAGTGAAAAAGAAAGGCTTTCCACAAGACAGAAAAGTTTGCCTGGGTCTGTGATGCCAGAATTTCCAATAGTGACCCGAATAGACCAAACGTTTGGGAGCTCTAACTTCCAAAGGGAGCAGACCTCAGTCACTCAACAACAACAACAACAACAACAACAACAACAACAACAAAACTTGAGTGTCTGACAGAAAGAATGAAAGCTCTCCTCCCTGAGGAGGAGAACGCCAGGGCGCTCCTGCTCACCCAAGGCAGGAAAGAGGTGGAGTGGGGTGGGACTTGTCATTGCAGAATCCTTTTCCTTAAGCCAGCTCATTTTGAGATTTGGAGGGAGAACTGGTTAGAGAGGGTTCCAGAGCGGCCCTTGTAACCGCCCAGGCCTTTGGCCCCACCTGCCTGTCAATTTCAGCCCACAAGTCCCACATTCCTTGCTCTGGGGATGTTGAGAACGTGGGCTTTCTAGAGCTCCGGGATGCTGTTAGGCCACTTCCCCGTTGACCTTTCGGGGACTCCGAAATCAAGTTTCCCTACACAGTCTGAATTGTTTGTTTGCGTTTGTTTTAAGCTTGCCGGAGCCTCCCGCGCAGCCCACCCCTCTCCCCCCTCCTCTCTGCCCCCTCCTCTCCCTCCGGCCTTTCCTGCTTCCAACACCCCCCAACCCCCCGCCCTCCTCTTTGTTGTCTCCTACCTGCTGGCCAGGCTCTGCCTGCAGTGCTGCCTGAAGGGCATCAGGTGGTAGTTCATGGCGTCCAGCAGCAGCTTCTGGCAGACCGGGTCGGTGCGCATGAAATCCACTGACTGGACCCGCTCCACCAGCTCCGGGGCCGGGATGAGCGCGAAGCGGAGGCGCTTCATGAGGTCGGGCGCGTACTGCATGCGGGTCTCGCGGTCGTGCTCCAGCCACAGCACGGACATCTGGAAGAGCGCCAGCTCCGACTCCACGGGGGGCGGCAGCGAGTCCAGCAGGGCGCGCATCTCCTCGAAGTTGAGCAGCAGCACATCCTCCACCAGGTACTTGTTGGCCAGCTTCTTGGTCTCCTCCAGGCCGTGCAGCGCGGCGATCTTGCACACCTGCTTGTAGTTCTGTACCGAGATCTGGTCGTTGAGGAACTGCACGCAGAGCTTGGTGACCTGGGGGATGTGCAAGATCTTGCTGACCGACAGCACCTCCTCCACCGTGTCCAGGGAGAGGGTCACGTTGGCCGTGTAGAGGTACTCGAGCACCAGGCGCAGCCCGATGGACGAGCAGCCCTGCAGCACCAGGTTGTTGATGGCCCGAGGACTGGTCAGCAGCTTGTCGTCGGGGGAGGAGGAAGGAGTCCCGGGCTCCTCCTGCGGCGGCGGCGGCTGCTGCTGCGGCGGCTGTTGCTGCGGCGGCTGCTGCTGCTGGTCCTTGGGGGCCCCCAGGCCGTCCTGGCCGCCGACCCCTCCCCCGAGAGGGGGGTGGCTGGAGAAGAGCGATCGGAAGTACTGCGAGCAGGAGGCCAGCACGGCCTTGTGGCAGTGGAACTGCTGGCCCTGGGCTGTCAGGGTCACGTCGCAAAACAGCTGCTTCCTCCACAGCAGGTTGAGGCCGTGCAGCAGGTTGTCGCTGTGGCTGGGGTCGAAGGTGGAGGTCCTGTCCCCGGATCTGGACATGGCGAGCTGACTCGGCGCACCTGGCTTTAAACCCTCCTCCAACCTGGCACACAGGGGTGGGGGATGGGAGGGAGGGGAGAGGGTAGTGGAGGGGGTGGGGTGTGGTCGGGTGGGGAAGGGTGTGGAGGGGAGGGGAGGGCGAAGAACAACAATCAGTGCTCAGCTTGGCTCCTGCCCGGCGCGCCCCAGGACCCCGACCCTAGGAGTAAGGTCTGAAGGCACTGAATCCGTGAGCGCCACCAAAAGGGCCCTGTCTGGGGTCGGGGCGCCGGTTCAGCTCCCTGCTACTCCTCTCGCCACCGCCCACACACTTCGTCCCTCACTTTCCTAAAACCACCCTGGCTCGGCTCTTGGCAGCGACAGAGGTGGCAGCAGCGACGGCAAAGTGGCGGCGGAGACCGAGACACCTCGTGGGCTCGTGTCCATGCCGGGCCTGAGGAAGGGAAAGGCCGGGGAGTGGGGAGCCGGGGGTTCCCGGAGAGCGCAGAGGCGACCGTCGGCGGAGGTTCCAGGTCAACTTGTGCCTGCAGCTTTGCTTTTCGTAGTTGGTCCAGTTTGGGGGGTGGGAAAGGGGACCCGACAAGCGTGCGGGTGGGCGATTCTTAGCCCTCCAAAAGCTGGGAACCCCTTCGATTATCTGTGCTGCCCCGAGAAACTCCTAGGCTAATAGTCTGAGGTAGCAGATAAAGCCCTTTCTTCTCCCGGGAAAGTGCAGTGGAGCGCGGTGAGGACCAGCTCAGTGGACTCGGCAGAGGCGGGAGCTGTCCTTATCAATTCTAGCTCATTTCCCTCACCCCGGCCCTGCCTGCTTGCCTGCTTCGCAAACTGTTGGCTTCCCCGTCACCACTCAGTTTTGCTAATTTTCCAGAGACGCCTTTAAACCTGGCAGGAGAATCCTTTCAGCCCCCCCACCCCCGGCCCCCTCTCTCCCGCCCCCCGCATTTCAAAGCGCGGAAGTTCAGACGTGTATCTCCCCTTCTCTCGCGGGGCGGCACCGGGGAAGACGGGGAGGGAGGAAGTGGGGCCACTGGGGTGGATTTAGAGCAGGAGCCGGGAGGCCCGGAGGGATTCACGTGAAAGGTTCTGTCTCCAAGGCACCAGGAACAGTGGCTTTAACTCCAGTAACTGTGAGAAGTTCAAGTTAACTGGCAGGTGTTGGGGGAGGGGGTGGGCCCTGTCCAATGAGGGGGGGTAGGTTTCGTGGGGGGGGGTCTCTGCATCCCACACAGCATCTCCGCGCGAAGCCTCAGCTTCCCTACGAGCCCCTCGATACAACCCCCAGCGGCCCCCCACTCGGGCACCCCCACTCTCCTGGCCCTGGAACTACTTCTGTAAAAAAAAAGTCTGAACCGCCCGCATCTAGGCGGAGGACGGCAGGATGGGGGAGGCGAGGCGAAATCGATACGCAGGGTCCTTAACCTGTAATTACACCTTCCAGGGCCGAGCAGAAAGGGACCCTCTGCCCACATCCCGCCCGCGCGCCCGCCCGCCCGGGAGAGCCGCCGCCGCCGCCGCCCGGCTCCGAGGGATCCCGCCGGACCTGCCCCTTCCACTGCGGCTCACTCTGCCCTGCCTGGCGCCAGTCCTGGATCGCCGGCTTCCTATTTATACCACACTGGGCTCCTCTCGACTCACTTTACCATCCCGTTCCAGGTGGACTCTAACCTCCCTCGAGCTCCCTCCCCGGGCAGGACCCCCTCCCCCACCGGCCCCCAAAGCTCTGGCTTTCCTGAAACATCTCCCAGAGTCTCTCCCTTTAAGTGGACCCGGTCATACCTCTCTCTCGCTCTCCCTGCTTCGTTGTCTAGCTCCCCCTCACCCCATCTTTTCCTGTTCCCCTTCCTTCTTGATCTCCTCCTTTGCCTTCCCCCCCATCTGCTTATTTCTTGCAATAGGAGTTTTATTCTTTATGAGCGTTTGCCACACAACTAACCCCCCCACCCCGAAAGACTCCCTCCCTGTCCCCTCCCCCGCCAAGAACCCAAAAGACAGAACAAAATACACACAAGGCAGACACAAGGCCAGAAACTTACCTGCTTTCAACCAGCTGCAAAGTCAAGGCTCACTTAAGCTCCCCCCCCAAAATCAATTGTCCTTCCTTTTTAAAGGTTTGCTCTCTCCTTGGGAGGGGGAAAACACCTTCTGGTTCCCAACTCCAGGCAGTCACTCTTTACAATTTATTTTGTCGTACATCATTTGATCACCATGAATTAGCAACAGCAAGAAAATGTAGGAGAGGGAGAAAAGAGAGAAAGAGAGAGGGAGAGAGAGGGAGAGAGAGGGAGAGAGAGAGAGGGAGCAGAGCTTTCTGCAAGAGAAGAAGAAGAAAAAATGTACGTGTGACAAATTATGCTACCAAGAAACAACACATCATTATCCTTGGGCCTGGGGCTCAGTGAGTCGTAACGAGAGTAATAGGAAATCCACGGTTGGGGAGAGAAACGGTCGTGCTTGGCCAGTAGAGAGAGACCATACAGGGGGATGGATGCTGGAGAGACTCGCAAAATTATGGCTCAAGGCTATTGTAAAAATTGTCGAGCGTAAATGACTGCGATTTCAAACATCTTTGGAAGAAAGAAGGGGAAAAAGCGAGCCCCCCCTCCCTCCCTCTCCCTCTCTCTCCCTCTCTCTTCTCTCTCTCTATAAAGAACCGTCAAGTTTTAGTGCGCATTGCTAATTAGTCAATTTCTCTCTGCCTTCACAGGCTGGCGACTTCACTGCTGAGCTGAAACTGCTAATTTCTGTGACCAGCTTTTTTCTTAGCTGTGATCTGGATGAATGAGTAGCTGTCTCACAGAGATGACAAAAATAAACTCTAATCCCCCCCAAAATTTCCACTACATCTTTCTCATGCATAGATTTATGATCTTCAAGCGCTCTGTGCAATATGCAAACTTTTTTTTGTGTCTGTATATATGCTGTTGTTTCCAGATTTCACTACATTGGTATGCTGTTCTCCCCCCCCCCCCCCATGAAATGCAGAAAACGTCTGATCTCAAAGTATGCTAAGATGCCACTTTCTAGTGTCTTGGTATTTGGGGGTTGAGTCTAATTTGGAAGACACTAGCCCTTGCCTAAAAGGTGAGTGGCTGGAGTGTACAAACTGGGGGTGGGGGAATTAGAGCTGGTAGACGGAATAGAGGACAGCTCTTTGCTTTACATTTGTTTCCCTGCACTATTCAAGCTTTATGATCTTGTTGGAAAACATATTTTTCTCTATCATTTTGTCTGGTTAAACAAACATCTCTGAACTTCTGTGTCAGCTCTTCAACAGATAAGGGTTCAGAAGTAAGATTTTTTTTTTTAAAGATTTTATTTATTTATTTGAGAGAGAGAGTGAGAGAGAGAAGGAGCACAAGAGGGGGGAGCGGGAGAGGGAGAAGCAGACTCCCTGCTGAGCAGGGAGCCCAATGCGGGACTCGATCCCGGGATTCGATCCCGGGACTCCAGGATCACGACCTGAGCCGAAGGCAGTCGCTTAACCAACTGAGCCACCCAGGCGCCCAGTAAGATTTTTTTTAATTGAAAGCTTATCATATTGTCAGATTTGTCTTTCAATTAAGAGTCTTTGATTTGCAGGAGCTAGAATCAAGTGCTAGGAAACCCAGCTGCAGTTTCACAAATGTAACCTTTAAACTTTGGACCTTATCTGATATATAAGGATGACCACCTACAGCTCACATTTTTGACCCTGCTTAGCATGCAAAATGAACCCCCAAATGATTCCGGAATTTTCACCGTACCAGAGATTCATGTGCATTTTGGTAGAGGACATGTTCTCTAGACTTATCTCATGATGTATTGCACCCTTACATTTATAGCCCTGCATTTCGGTTGTCAGTGGGGGTTGGAGGTGTCCAAGAAAGAAAGCAAAAAAAAAAAAAAAAAAAGAAGGCATGCCCTTGAATAAAATGAACATGAAAGAAAGCTGGACATGAGTTAAATTGAGTTTTCCTTGCTATTAAAGATACGAATATGAGTCATTCTAATTTATATGTGCTCTGATTAGTAAAGTTATTAAAATACACATCAGGGCACCACTGAAAGCCTGTCTTCCCACCTTCCCTTTTGATTTGTGAGATATGGAAAGACACCTGCTTAAGAGAGGGAGAGAAAACTGAAAATTCTTTGGTTTAGAAAGAGGGAATTCCCCATTTAGAATAATAAACATTAACATGCATGCGGGATATTTGCTCTTAAATAAATGAAGGATTGAACTGAAGCCTTTACTCCTCACAAAGGCCCTTCTCTATCAAGGTCCTAGGTTATCTGAGAGTAAGATACTTTATTCAGATCTTGTTGAAATACTGTATTTCACATTTCATATTTATAATAAAAAGCTCAAATACATGGTAAAATAATAGAAAAAGATTTTTTTGTTTGTTTGGAGCAGGGAAAAGAAAGGGAACAGATTATCCAAATCTTCTGGCTCTACTATTTGTTTTGAATTTTTCCTTTTTTGAATTTCCCTTATTTAGGTCTTGAACAAGAAGATTGTGTAATTGTGATATAGTGTCTTTTGGGGGGTTCTGTGCATTAGCAATTAAATCTATCAAGTAGGTACAGTATCACCAAATTCTCATACATTGAAAGTATAATTTGTATAGTATGCTTTTGATGCTTACCTCTTTTGAGCTTCCAATGAAGCATTTGGAACTAAATCCAAAGCGGAATAAGAGTATTAATCACTTAAACTATTGTCATCTCTCCATGTTCTCATAAAGGAAGTAAGATGTGTTTTGAGATCTCAAAATATCTTGATTTTGAATTTCTGTTTTTTTTTTTACTAATAGGATATATTGATCACTAATTATGATTACAAGGATCTCTGTTGCTCCAAACAATATGAAAGGCACATTTCAAGAATTTTAACTATCTATAGTTTTGATGCTTTTTTAACAACGAGAGTGGAAGGGCAAGAGAAGGGTTGGGGTCTTGCAATTCTAAAACGGCTGTTGAAAGGAAGTGGCTAGGCTTTTTCTTCTGGGTTTTAAAGTTACACTATTTGAGAATGTTTAAGATTCCAGAGAAAAAATTACAATTGTGGCTGTTTTGTAAGCAATTAAAAATAATATTGATAATTAAAAATCCCTTCATAATCTAGGTGTGAACTGGCATATATATCATGCAAGTCTCACACCTCCAATATCTTGCACTGGCTTTGACTGAAATTATTGCAGAACTCACAAATGATATGACACTATTTACAATAAATCCCGTTATGAAAGATTCAATTTGCAGCAATCAGATGCTAGCTACTAAGCGATTGTAAGTATTTGAATTTTATCCTACTTCACTGTTCAACGTACAGAAATTGCATCTGTGTGTTTGATCTGTCCTGCTGAGCACTATCAGCAGCTTGCATCTCTGCCACTATTGTTTTTAAAATGGCAGGAAGGACGTGACTAGTGAAGAGCACTCAGCAGGATGGATTTCACATGGCATAAGAGAAGCCAGAATTGTCTTATAAAAAAACTAAATATGATCATGTAGTTCATCTAATTCAAGCAGTCTTCATACTTCGACAGAATTATCAGAATTACTCATCAGTGAATCTGCATTTAAACTATGTACAGTGGAGAGATTCTGGAACTGCTTCCACTGAGCAATCTACTAGAGCTCTAGCTCTAAGCTGTCTGGTCAGCCTTCCGGGTGGCAGGGACCCAGGCAGATCAGTGGCTCTGGTTTCTCAGGACCATCTCACTGGACTGGATGAACTTAAGATTATCTTCAGAACAGTTTCAGAAGGGTTTTTGCTGCTTCACATGAAGGGGCAGCCACATTGAAACTTTATTTTCTTGACTTTTCTGCTTAAGATTTATGAGTGATCACCAAATTGTATAAACACCAAAGCCTGGTTTCTCCTGTGCTGCTTTTGATTAGTAAATACTACTTCCTGTGGCCTGACCTTCATGATGGCCACCAATTGTAAAATGGATGAAAGGAGGAATTATTCCATTTTACAATAAAATTGAACAAAGAAGGACCTCCTAGATCCCCAAAGCCACGGAGTGGCAAAACCCAGAGAAAAACGGTAGGTTTCTATTTGAAATCTTGGGTAGACGTGGCCAGAAATATCACAAAACCAGCAGCATCAGGAAGCTTCTGGAAGAACAAAACATCTAAAATAACAGTAAAAGATAAGAAACGGTACAATTGGCTAGTATTTAGTCAAAGCCAATGGTTTACTCTTGCCCCAGGGTCAAGTCCAAGTCCTTGGCCAGTCCTCCAGGTTCCCAGGCTCTTGTTGTAGCTCTTCTGGGGAGTCTGTTGTTGGCTGCTTTCTGAAACACATCCCACTTTCACAGCACATCTTTAGGTTGTATCCTTATGAGAGGCCTTGGTTCTCCACATAGAGAAATCCCACTTATTTCTCAGATTAAACTCAGATTTCTTTCCATTTTGAAACTCTTCCTGGCAACTTCGAACAGAATAATCATAGCTCATTCTTATCGAATTCATTACTTGTTAGGTGGACACTAGCCTAAATCCTTTAGATGTTTTGTTTGCTTAATCCTTTCATTAATCCTGTGAGAGAGTATGATAGGTTGTAAAAATGGCGCCAACTCTCTATTCTTCCTGGTATAAATACCCCATTATGAAGTGGCTTTGCTGTTCTTCTTATAAGAGTGGAGTCTACTTCCCCACCCCTTGAAAGTGAGCTGGCTTTGTCGCTTGTTTGATCGATAGAATGTAGCAGAAGTGACTTTGTGCCAATCCCAGGTCTGAGCCTCCAAAGGCCTTGTATGCTTCACCTTCCCCTCTTTGAATCCTGCCAGTGGCCATGTGAAAAAGTCCAGGTTAGCCTGGTGGCAGAGCAGATACCACATGGTCCCAGCTGACCTGGGATGTATGAATGAGCCCTGCTGCAACAGAAGAACCAACGTAGCTCAGATTTACTAACGCACAGAATTCTGAGTGAAATAAATGGTTGCTGTTTTGAGCCATTAATTTTTGGGGTGACTTGTTCCTTAGTAAAATTAGCCAATAAAGAAAGGTACCATTATTCTAATCTTACCAATGTGCAAAATGAAGTGCAGAGAAATCAGGTAAAATTTTCAGGGCCACACAGCTTTTCAAAGGTAGAGCTAAGATCCAAATCAATACAACCTGACTCCAGAAATTAACCATTCTGCTACACTAGCCACAAAAGAAGTGCCTGCTTTCTGTGAACTTCATTCATTTATTCATCAAGCATATGGTAAGTATTTATCATATCCCAGACAACAGGCTAAACATGGAAGATATGATGATGAGTAAAATGCAACCTTGCCCTCAAGGGGCTAACATTCTAATGGAGGAGACAGGCAGGTAAATTAGACACAGCATGTGAATAATTACAATGTGATAATTGCTCTAATAAGGGTATGTGTAATGAACTACTGGAGCAGAAAGAACAGTCTCTTAACTTCC